ACCACGCTTGGCCTGAAAAGCGAACACTTATGCACTGTTGGTGGGAATGTAAATTAGTTCAGCCACTATGGAAAACAGTTTGGAAATTTCTTAAAGAGCTTAAAACAGAACTACCATTTGACCCGGCAAATATCCAAAGGAAAATAGATTATTCTACCAAAAAGAGTCGTGCACTCATATGTTCATGGCAGCACTATTCACAATAGCAAAGACATGGAATCAACTTAAGTGCCCATCAATGGTGAAATGGATAAAGAAAATGTGATACATACACACCATGGAATACTATGCAGCCATAAGAAGAAGCAAAATCATGTTCTTTGCAGCAACATGGATGGAGCTGGAGGTCATTATCCTAAGTGAAATAACACAGGAACAGAAAACCAAATACTGCATGTTCTCACTTATAAGTGAGACTCATGGACAGAAAGATGGCAACACTAGACATGAAGGACAGTGGGATAGATGGAGGGGAAGGATGGAGAGGACAAAAGTTGCAAAGCTATTGTGTAGTATGTTCAGTACTTGTGTGATGGGATCAATTATACCCCAAACTTCAGTATCTCTCAGTATACCCAGGAAACAAGTGTGCATGTGTACTCTCTCAATTTAAAATAAAAGTTGAAATCATAAAATAAATAGCCACCTTCTTGCTACTTCCTTCATATTCTGTGTTTCAAAGCAATTGCCTTCATTAAAGCCCAGTTTTTCTCTCTCTTTTTTTCAAAGCTTGGTTGTCTCAGTCTTTAAAGGTAAATAAGGAATATGATTAAAATAGTGAAAATGAAATTCTGATGCTTAGTAAAATAACTGTGAACTTCACTTGGCTGGAACATTGCAAATCCCCAGAGGCATGAATAAAAATTCCCCATTTGATGTTCTTTCCTGGACCAGAAGCCCTATATCCACATTCCCAGAGTATACATTTGAAAACAAAAAGATACTTACAGGGTTTCTCACCCATCCTCCTGGCCAGGGCCAAGACTGTCCGGAAACTCCCATCTGATGGGAAGAGACAGTCTACAGGGACCAACGGCACACCTTTCAGCTGGCTTGAGGCCAGAAGGTGGGTGTGGGCAGCTGTACCCCTTGGCCGGCATCATGTTCATGAGCCCTGTTGTCCCTGGGAGAGAGTGCCCCAGCTTGGGAATCTAGGTATTCAGGTCCTCGAATCAGCAATTCCTTCCAGTTGCTCTGTGATATGCACAATTCACGTCAGTGAACTTGTTATCTTATCCCCTGCAGAGCTGCTTCTGCTCCTTCACAACTCCCTGTCTTAGCATCCGGCACCACCCTGCTATCTGGCTGATGTGCCAGACACCTGGGAGTTGTTCTGGACTCCTCCTTCCTGGGACACCACTTCCCATCACCACTAGCCTCACTCAACCTCTTCTGCCTCTCTCCATCCACACTGCTGTTACTCTGACCCAACTCATAACCGGACCAGTCAACCCCTTCAGTCCCGGCTGGAATCCAATCCTTTCTCCACGCTGCAGCCCAAAAGCCTTCTTGAAGCACTCATCATGTCCTCAATGATGTCCCATTGCTTTGGGGTACAAATAAGCCTTCACAGGTACACACTCCCCATCAAGGTGTGTGAAAGGTGGCCCTAAGGCTGGACACAGCCCACAGGTGGGAGGTTTTCTGTTTTGTTTTCTAAAGGTCAGTTTCCAGTATTTACAAGTTATGAAATATGACATTAAATCCGGATTTGTAACATCTCTTGAAAATCAGAAAATCTGTCATCTCTAGGCCAGTGTCTGTGATGGAAACAGTAGGGCTGTCCTTGTCCCCCACGCAGCCTCAAGTCCAGAACTCTTCAACTTGCCCAACCTTCCCTGTGCTCACGGATAGCACAGGTGTGGCCCTTCTGCCCACAGATCTGGCCCTGTCTGCCTTGCCAGTGGCACCTCCCTCTCCTCCGTGTTCCTGATACCTGACTTTTTCTGCCTCTGAGCAAATTCCAGGGCCTTCCCCCATACTCTTACCTCTGCTGGGACGCCTGTCCCCTATTGCCTCTCTCTCCCTACAGTCCCACCCAGATAAATCCTACTTATCCTCAAGCCATGAGTTTAGATGTCACTCCTGCAGGAAAACCACCCCTGGTGCCCTACCAGAGGTCAGTGCCCATCTTCCTATCACCTATGGCCATTGGTCAATTGCCATCCTGTGAGCTCCTAAGGACAGGGCTAGCCTGATGACCTCACCACTCTACCACCAGTAGCCAACCCAATGCCTGGCACACAATAGGAGCTTTATAAACTATTTGTTGAATGACTGGATACACTTGATGCCTCTGGGTTAGTATGCATAAATGTCAGTAAGACACCGTCTACTGGCGAGACAAGGTGTGGAAGCGAATGGAGGTCAGCATGGGAGAGGCCCAGATGCACGGTGTCCTAGGATTCGCTGAACAGTCACTATTTGCCAGCCTTGTTTTCCCAGGGGAAGTCAAGCTTGAGTGGGGCTTGGGAATTTGGGACTTGTAACCATGCCTGCTAACGGAAGAGAACACTGGCTCAGAGAGGTGAGTTGACCTGACCTAGGTCACACAGTCCTTGCAATTTGAGCAACATAAAGATTAGGGCTGTGCCTGACGTGCTCAAAGCTGTAGCTCCAGCAACAACTCAGTGTTTAACAAATGTGTTGAATGAATAAATAAAGGAAGAAGACAGAGGTTGAAGAAAGATCTGAGGATGCAAGCAGGAGAAAGAACCTGATATTGATTTATAAGCAAAGAGTTTGACAAGTGAAGAGGAATTTGGAAACGATCCCCAAAGAGAAAAGCTTAGCTCTACTGAGACAAATATTTATTTACTTTTTTACTCCTAAAGGACAATCATACTCTTCATTGACTTTTAAATGTATTTTTGTTTAGGGAGCTGAGGTGTTATCTTGTTTTTATTGTCAACAGTGGCGGTTATTTTGAGAATTTTAAAATATTTTTAAAAACAAAAAGCAAGAGTGTCTTCTGTTTGGAAGCTCGCTTAGGTAGGGAGACTGTTTCTAACACACTCACAATTAATTATAGACATCATCAGGCCTGTGACAACCACAATGTAAGGTGTGAGTTGTTTCTGTTTTTGCAAAAGAAGAAACTAAAATCATACCCATAATAACCAGAATGGTCATAACAAAAGATCAGAAGCAGATGCCTCTGAGGGGACCTGGATTGGCTGAAATATTAAAAGTCACTAATAATACTACAGAAAAGTACCCTTAAGAATGGTCAAAATAGTAAATTTTGATGGTAACTTTACCACAATAAAAAATGTTCAAAACATTGAAAATTTGTTTTAAAAATGCGATGCAATGATTCCTCTGCTTATTAAAAACCTTCCACTGAATGAGGAAGGAGCTGGCCCTAGAGTCGGTGAGGCTCAGCAGCTGGGACAGAGAGGACCCTGTGGACAGAATCAGCCCCTTCTCTCCTGAGCTGCCACATTCCCAGATACCAGTGTGATCTGTCTTTGGCTGTATAAGACACACTTCCTATGTGGCTTTGGAAGCACACAGACCCAGGTTCTGGTTTCAGCATCAATGTATCCTTGTTCATTAGAGCTCTGTACCTTACCTCTCTGCTTGTGTCCAAGGCTGCAGATCTGAGGTACTCACAAAGAAGCTGTTAGGATTTGAGCAGCATAACAAACTAACAAACGAGTCTTTTACATAACCGCTCTAGGGACTTGCAAATTTGTTACGTTTGCCTCCTGCTGCTAAAATTCACCTCCACAGGGAGCTGTTTGTCTGTTGTGCACTGTTCAAATGCCTGGAACAGTCTGGCAGGCCATGGGCATTCGACTACCACTAGTGGTTTAATCTCTGCCCGCCCTCCTGGCCTTCCTGTGTGAGCGGGAAGAGAGTGTTCCTGCATCCCTGGGAGGCATCCTGACAAGTCCAGTGGCCTCTGCATCCACCATGGTCTTGAACATACCCGTTCCTCTTTATCCCCATGCCCACCACCTCAGTGGCAGCTACACCCTTCCTTTACCACGTGTACCAATAGCAGCATCTCCCTGCCTGGTCTCTCTCCTCCCAGCCTTCCCACTCTAGTCTACACCCACCACCTCCACCCCAGAAGGCCTCCACGCCTTCTAACACTGATCCAGCCATGTCACCCTCCAGCTCCAGTGCCACTCAGGGCTTCCGATGCCCCCACGGTGAAGTCTGTGGTGCCTCAGTGAACAGACACTTCAACTCTCATCCTCCCCATGCTTGCTCTGTCCTCAGCCCCCAAGCCGTCTGAGTTCCTTCCCAGGGCTGCACCCCATCTTCAGCCTTTTCTTAACTGATTTCCTTTCTCTGGTATATTCTCTCTCCCAATCCTCATCATCACCTGCCTAACTCCTGCTTACCCTTCAGGAGTCCATTTAGAGGCCACCTCTTCTGAAAAGCCTTCCTTGATTTTACCCCACCCCACTCAACCTGAGTGAAGTGTTTCTTTTTTTCCTGCCAAGGCCACACAGCAAGTAAATCGTTGGACTGGGATTCAAATTCAGGCCCACCTGCTACCAAAACAGCAAGCCAAAACCAGAAGACTGTGTCATTACTTATTTATCCAGGAAAAAAGAGACTCAGGAGTGAGGTAGAGCTCAGCTTACATCTTGAAAAGTTGCCCAAAATATATTAAATGAAAACACCAGGTTGTAGAACAATGTGTATGGCACAATTCCATCAAAAAACATAACAAACTATATATATATTTATTTAGGTTTTTGAAGCACAGTAGAAGCCTACACAAACACAAATGGAGCTGTTAATGGTAATTTTGGGCGGGTGAACTTAAATATTCTATAAGATTTGAATTTGTTATGTATTCTTCATGTCCTCAAAAAAATTAAACTCCAAGGAAACTCCACAGCTTTTCTCCAATAATAAGTAAGAGGCTTGAACACTAAGGAATTGCAATAGACAGAGATCAGCTTTTGGAGGAAGGGCTCCTTCCTGCAGTGGTAACACGAGATGAGAGCAGATGCAGTTGGCCAAGGAGCCACGCTCACCTTTCCCAGCAGCTCAGGCAGGCCCAGCAGCTGCCCAGTGAACACACCAATGCAGATGAAGATGGCGGTCACCTGCCCCAGAGAGCCACGGATCTGCTTGGGTGAGATCTCACTGAGGTACATGGGGAGCACACTGAGGGCAATGCCTGTGGAGGAAGCACAGCAGCAGTTAGAGAGGTGTCTTCCTGAGGAAGCCGCACTCTGGTTACACTGCCTCTCTTGGCTCTGCTTTGCCCTGGACATTAAATAGCACTGTAGCCACAGCATCCTTCCCAGCACTTTGCACAAATTGCCAAAGCTTTCCCACGCACTTTATAATTTAACCCCTAAAGTATGATGGAGGTGCATTTCAGAGGACAGGACACAGCTGATGGTGTTGGTGGAGGTGACAGTAATGATGGTGATGGTGATGGTAGTGATGGTGATAATAATGGTGGTGATGGTAGTGGTGGTGGTAGTGATGGTCATGATGGTGATGATGATGGTAGTGGTGACGGCAGTAATGGTGATGATGGTGGTAGTGATGGTAATGATGGTGATGGTGGTGGTGGTGATGATTGTGGTGGTAGTGATGGTGATGGTGATGATGGTGGTGGCAGTGATGGTGATGATGGTGGTGGCCACGATGGTGATGATGGTGGTGGCAGTGATGGTCATGATGGTGACAGTGATGATGGTGGTGGTAGTGATGGTGAAGGTGATGATGGTGGTGGTAGTGATGATGATGATGGTGACGGTGATGATGGTGGTGGTAGTGATGGTCATGATG